GCCCTTCTTAAAACAAGAAAAGTGTAGCAGCTAGAGCATTGGGAAGACCACTTCAGTCATGAAACTGACTGACGGAAAACCATATGGATTGCCTTGGGCAGCTTACAGGTAAGGAAAGGTACACAGGTAATAAATTTTATAAGGTTGTGAAATCTTTCTACTAACCAACTATTGGCACAGGATTAGAGTGGAGCAGGATAGATTTTTAAAAAATTAATGATTTTTAAAAAATCTAATTATTTAAACCATTATTTATTCAAATCAAATCCACCCTGCATAGGACATACCACTCTCACTGGTACCTTGCACACAAATTAGCAAAAGATTCAACAACCAAAGCAGGTGTCATGGGGACAACCAGAGTATTTACTTATCAACCTCATTTACCTATGAAACAGAAGGTGAGGGCTAACACAACAAAAGTTCACATGGAGAAGGCAGAGCTATTGTACCATATTCAGAAATTCAAAAAAGTTACTTTTTTTGGATTTACAGATTCCAGAATCCTATAGCCAGCATGGCTAGTGGCCATGCAAGTTTTGAGATACTGCAGCTCTTAGTCTGAAAAATGTAACATCTCCAAGCTTTGGTTACAGGACAAGTTTTGTATACAGAAAGCTCAGCTTGCAGAATTTCCTTATAGGGCTAGGGACAACTCCTGTCTTGAGATCCAGGAAGTCAGTGATGAACCAAATGTACCAAGAGACTGACATGGTGAGTAAGGCAGCTTCCTATATCCCTATGAGATCTGCAGTCCTATACATAGCAGGCTTCTGCTCTGTCACCTCACTGGCACTTTTCCACTGAGTTCACTGCTGATACCATAATAGGGCTAGAAAGAACGGTGGACAAAATGGCATATATTTAGTGAATTGTGGTTCAATTCCCATAAACCAACTGCAAGTTCTATTATAAAATCTTGGGAACCCCGAGAAAAACAGTTTTCTAACATAATATTTTAAGCTATCACAAATATACTCCTCCCATTGTCTGCTAAGGACAAGCTGTATCCACTGACAAACAATAGTGTTTGGCTTACATGAAGGTCAAGATACTACAATACATGGAGTGGTGCCTATCTGTCTTCTCCTTATTAAAAAAAGAAAAGAAAAGAAAAAGCAAAGCCAGTAAAAGCACAGCTCCTTGCTGTGTTTGTTCAAGGACTAATACCTGATACTTTAGTGTATTGTAAATATTGACTACTAATAAGGTGCTTGTATCAAAGCCTCACACAATCCATGAAGTGCTTACTGAAAAGGTGAACTCTGACCTGTGTTAACTTCCTGTTCAGGGTGTGACCATAACAATATTTCCTGGCATCTTTAATACTGACAGATTTATTATAACATAAGCTTTCACTCTTTTTTGTGGATAACAGCAAAAGGTAAGAAATCAGGATTCAAGGTAGAACGGAGAACTGAGCCAAAATGAACACAGTGAGTTCCAATACAGAAAAATATAAAGCTCTTTATTTAGGCAGGAAAAATCAGGTACACAAGTACATGATGGCTGGCAAATGAAAAAGATCTAAGGTTCTTAGTGGACCATAAGCTAAACATGAATCAACAGCATGAGATCATTGGGGTTAAAAATACGATGCAACACTAGGCTACATCAAGAGACATATAGTACCACAATCAAGGAAAGTAACAGCACCACTGCTTTCTGCTTTGTTTTGGACTACTGTAATCATTTGTCAATATCACAGTTTAAGAATTATATTAAAAAGATGAAACATGTCCACAACCATTTGGCCAAGATGGTAAAGGACCAGGATACTGAGTCCTATGAAGAACAATGGAGAACAATGTTCAGCCTAAAAAAGAAGACTGAAAGGTGATATAACAGCTGCCTTCAAATATCTGAAATGATGTCATGTGGAACATAGGGGAAGCTTGTTTTCTGTGGGATAAAATCCGAACTATGGGGTTGAAATTAAAAGAAAGAAAACAATTAGGAACAATGTCCTGACAGTAAGAACTGATAGGACAATAAAATACATCATTGGTGTCTTTATGGCAAAGGTTAACTAGCAATCTATCACAGATCTGGATTTCTTTTGTTATGGATTTCCGGCTTCCATAGGAAATCAGTAGCCCTTGGTTTCCCTTTGAGCTCTACAATTCTATGGTTCTGTAATTTTAGTATGTATTGGGGCTGCATGATGCTTCCAAGAAATGGAGAACAGGTGGCCCCCAAATGTTATTGGACTACAATTGTCATTGGCCTAGCCAGTATGGCCAATAAATAGTAACAGATGATAAGAATCGCAACTTAACATCTGGATGCATATCTTCCACATGCATTACCCGTAGAGTTCAAAATCCATCATGTGTTTTTCAAGCAAACCTTCCATCACTCCTGACTGATCATGGGCAATCACTACTTCACAGTCTAACCTAACTCAGAAACTTACTCTCTCATAGAAATATGACCCAGTAACCAGTCAGCTTGCAATAGATTCCAGTAAAAGTTCATGAATTAAAAAAACAAATTATTTGGTTTTTATGGGAACATTTACAAAACCAGCACAGTAGCTGAAATCCTATTACTAAGTGTAAGAAAATTCAGGTAGTGAAGACTAAGATCCAACACTGATTTCTCAAAAATCAGTCAAGAACACATATACCACCACTGCACCCTTATCTGAGGGGGGGGGGGGAAGAGACCATACGGAAACACAAAAAGTTATAAAGAGATACATCAACCTTCCCTGTTTGGAATAAGAGGAGTGATCAGCCCAACATACACAAATTCAGCTTCTGAAGGAGGATCACATCCATGTGTATTTCATGCTGATTATGAAACACCAAGATTAACAAGAGACTGTGGCATTACTGCTGCCAATTTGCGTGAGAGGCAACAAAATCATGATTGTGCTCAATATATATTTTCAGCAGGGCTACGCATTTAGAAACAGAACACCAAACTGTGTTACAAAAATTTAAGTTCCTTCTAATGTGAATTTGCTGCCTTGCTTTATAAAGATGAAGATGATTTAGTAATCTCTACAGAAGGGAGAGAGGAACACCAATTAAAAGGAAGCTCAGGAAAAGAGACAGTCTATTGGCTAGCTATAATTTCCATGGAAACAACAGACATTGTTAGCCTCAGGGATGCTGCCAAAAATGGCCTCCTCTTGGGAATAGACACCCTCTCACACACTGTCATATTTAGAGATGCTTACCATGTGGATCAGAATTAGCATTCTGTGAGATTCCACACCCTGTCCTGTAGAGCAGGAAAAACATGGAGACTTGTGTGATGGTCCAGTCCTCCCAATAAGTACTTTGCCTACATTATAAGACAGGGATATCCAAACTACGGTCCATGGGCCACATCTGTCCTCCCTTGCCTTTTTATCTGGCCCAGGGATAGGAAGAGGAGTGAAGGGGAACCCAAGCGATCCCCCCCCTCCTGCTGTTTGCAAAGACAACGGGGGTGGGGGATCGCATAGGTCCCTCTTTCCTGCTTCAGCCCTCAAAAATGTGTAAGATATATGATGTGGCCCTCATACTGAAAAGTTTGGAGACCCCTGGTATAAGGATGGGTCAGTTGCCACAGGGAAACAAGCATCTCGATGACACTGAAAAGAGCAGTTTAATCATAATGAAAGCTGTGGAGAAGAAGGAGTGAAATGGAAGCACTACTGGTAGAGGGTTGAACAGATAAAGTGACAACAGAAACTAAGAGAAAATCTGTAAACAACTGCAACACACAGAGTTCAACAACCACGAAGGAGAAAAGAGGAGAAGACTTCCAATTCAACCCTGTGGTGGTACAAACAACAAAAAAGATTCTGTCTCCAAATGAGGGTTCATGGTATTGTGGCAGCAGAAAAATGAGTCTTCTAGCACCTATTCAAAGTTCTATTTAGGCATTATGGCAGGAAGTATGAAGAGGACTATGCATGGTAGGGACAGGTTTGTGCAAGACCCCATCACTATATTCCCTGCTCTCCACCTAGAATTTAGTCAGACCTGCATGCATTGAGAGCAGCAGTCTGACAAAGAGCTTATTAACTATAATAGGCAGGGTTCCCAGTCACCGCAGCTTCATAAGCCAAATTCCCTTTCACATTTCCCTTCAGACCTCTGAACTCATCACTTACAGTCATGTTATGGACTTGTGAAGAGGTGGCTCCCCCACACCTTTTGCCCCCTCCATCCCCATCATGAATACAGACTTCTATATGCTTTCGGGCATAATGCCTGAATAGGGCTAAAGACCACTGGTTAACACACCTCCTCCTCACAAGCCCTGTTTGTTGTTTTTATGTGCTGCAAAGTTGCCTCTGACTCATGGCAACCCTCTGAATGAGGACTCTCCAAAATGTCCTATCCTCAGCTGCCCTGCTCAACTCTTGCAGGCTCCATCTCATGGTCTCTTTTAGGGAATCAGTCCATCTCATATTTGATCTTCCTTTTTTCCTGCTCCCTTCCACTTTCTCCAGCATTATTGTCTTTTCCAAAGAATCCCATCTGCTCATGATGTGCCCAAAGTAGGATAGCCTCAGTTTCAATATTTTTGCCTCTAGAAATAGTTAAGGCCTGATTTGATCTAGGACCCATTTGTTTGTCCAGTATACCAGCCCTGTGTACAGGATACAATCCTCAGTAGAGCTTGGTCTTTTACAAGCTCTGCTTTTTTTGATCTATCAAATGGTATATTTGCTGCAGTGCAATGTTAAAAAAAACCTATGATAAACCAAACCCTGCTTTCAAAAACCTGGAACCAGGTTTATGTGTGAACCTCAAATATATAACCTGTCTCACCACCCACCCATTCAGACAAACTGTTGTGGAGGGACTATTACTGTATGAATCCTCCCCCTGGACTTACTGGATCCTAAACCAAAAACACTAGAGTGATTATGTAGAGGAGGCATGAGCACAACGAAAGAAAGCCACTGCAGTTAGTCTTGTATCCAAGAGACAGGAGATAACCTTGAGTGTGTAAACATTCTCAGCACCTTGACAACCAGACACCATAGCAGCTGTGTGACACTCTAATCCACAGAGAGAAGAGCATGTGAGGCAGCTTCCATACCTTCCCATTAGAAGTGCTTCTTACAGGTTAGTATTCTGGATCCACAGCATTTTGGTACTCCACAGTTGTCTTAAAGGCAAAGCTCTTCCTGATTTGCAGCACAGCTTCCATGTAATGGCAACTGGCAGTTATCATGTCAGGGCAATTGAAATATGTAAAGCTCCAGCAGTTCAAAGAATTGCCCTTTCCTAAATGAACACTTTGTCTTCAGCTGCCACCACTATTCAGGTTTAAGAAACAGGAGTGGTCTTCAGAAAGGCACACGGACATTAAGGGCAAGAAAGATATATGGCTTTTGGAGCAGGGTCTAACAAAGCAGGTGTAATCATGGCACTGGCATGCCAAGTCCTTGTGGCAGTTTCAATACAACTAGTGCTTTGCTGCAGATACAGATGGGAAGGATTCTCCTTACCTTGCAGTGCCTTGGCTGAAAATTATTCCTTTGCTGAAGCACAAGGATAATGCCACAATACTACAAAGAGGCACAAAAGATTCCAGAAATAAATTCTAAGGATTCTGGTATCAGTGCAAGGCAGGGAGACAACAACAACATCGCAATCTCCAGCAGGCTACATTCAAGGAGCAAAAGCTCAGAAGCATGTAAACAAGCACCAGGCAACTGGCATGAAATGGTTTAGGAAGTATGGAGTGGTCCTTAAAATCATGCAATGACAGGGCTGCAAAACTGGTAAGGAAGTCGTCAGCCCAGGGGCCAAGGATTCAGAGCAAGATAGTGATGTGATCACATTTCACATTGTGTTCAAAGGGTATCAAGCCAGTGCTATCTTGAGGACCAACCAATATTCTCCTCCGAAAACACTGAGTGATCGAAGGTAAATAATAGTGATGTTGCTTCTGATAATAACAACGAAAACAACTACAACTAGTTTAAGGAATAAAATAATTAGTGAGCAGATCTAGATTGTTGCCTTTAACATCTTTCATTCCTGCAGATGTAGGCACCAGATTTGCTCACTTGTTTTGCCCAACACAAATGCTGGGTTTCCCAGATTCTTGCTAAAGCCCTTAAGGGTTTCCACTAGGAAATATTTTTCATGCAACATTCAAACAAACAAACATTTCTTACTCCTACTATATATTGCAAAGCTGCAGTAGTTCACAAGAGAAAGAGAGAGTATGCTGAGATAGGGACTACAGTATAAATGTACTTTGACCCAACTTGTTTTAATTGTATTTGTTCTGTTGTCAGCCGCTCAGAGTGGTATAATTATACCAGATGGGTGGGATATAAATCAAATAAATAAATAAATAAAGAACTCAAGCAGAATCCACAGATCCCAAGCAACTTCAACTAGATTTGCATACTAATTGGTTTCACAATTAATACTTCTACTGGTTGTTGTGGGTTGTTCGGGCTTCTTGGCAATGTTCTGAAGGTGGTTCTTCCTAACCACCTTCAGAGGACAGCAAACTGAAGATGCCGGCCACAGAGACTGGCGAAACGTTAGGAAGAACCACCTTCAGAACACGGCCAAGAAGCCCGAACAAACCACAACAACCATTAGATCCCGGCCGTGAAAGCCTTCGCGAATACAATACTTCTACTACTGCTAAAAGGCAGGGCTAAGAGATCCTCATATTTAAAATATTTCCTCTTACCTCATCTTAGCACACATGATGGAGAGTAGGCCATACAAGATGCCTTCACTTTAAAAAAGAAGGATGGGGCATCCAACTCCTAGCTATTTGAACTCAGCCAAAGATATGCAGAACTTAAGACATAAAGCTGAGATCAGCTGCCATGGTAACACTGTAACACAGTAACTAATCTAGATTGTCCTAGTTTTGAGCAAGATGAAGAAGAGGAAAAGTGGGTGTAGATATGAGATGAATACAATTTCCATATGAATCCAGATACTGTTAATATATGTCAATACGTAACATGGCTTCTCACTAAGGGTTAACATTGAAAAGACCTCATATGTTTCCTGTAACTAATTAGGCTTATAAAGCCTCCTCTCCTTTACCCTCTCACAGACCCTTCCTGATGGTGGGAAAAAGCAGAAGCTGTCTGTCAACGTTACCTAAACTGCTGTCGCTTACTCTGTATACTGCTTCTGGTATGTTATGTGATACAGTTTTAGCACTTTGTTTTCTTAGGAATCCCATTTACCCTTCCCTAAGAGAACTAGATAAATATATATATACTGTTTATCTCAGTGTCTCAAAGCCTCCTTTTTTTTCAACAGATACATCTGTTCCTAGAGTTATATAATAAACCATATTTATACTAATAATGGTATCCACCATTATTTTCCTTGGGACATAAGGCATAACTCAGTGGGCCTCTAGAACAAGGAAATCAGATGCGCTCTTTAGATGAATCGGTGCACTAGTAGAATCTTGCAGTTCACATAGGGATTTTGGCAACATCTGATCACTAACAACCCACTATTCTTTGGGACTAAATCCAAATACCAGTCCCAACTAGAAGAGATCAGCTGTCTCAAAGTAATACTTGTGTGTTGACTTATCCTTCCGCATTTGATTCAGTGACTCTTCTCTTGATGGAAATAGTCACTGGATTTAGGCCTCTGCACTTACTGTACTCATAACCAGATTAATAGAAGAACTGGAGCAATTAGGTTGATGTGAATGGAAGGTCCAATGGAAAAGGGCAGCAAATTTTGAGCCAAACATGACACATCTGAAAGAAAGTGGGGTGGTCTAAAGGTCCTTTCAGGATGACCATTGTAGACTTACTAAAATGTAAGATGTAACCATCTGGCTCCAAGTTAAAAAAAAAAAGAAAACAATGCCAAAAGCTTCCTAGACTGACTTAAATGCAGTCTTTTGGAGTGGTATTTGCATGTTACTAATGTTCAGCAGACTGCCTCTGAATAAGGTGCATTACTAACTCATCTTAATATGACTTGTCCTCATGTATGCACTTATGGAGTTCTTCTGCACTAATATAATAACATACTGTTAAAAAAACTGTATTAACAACTAGCATTTTTAGTCTTACGTTTTATGTTTCCATTTATAACCCAGAGAACAGATGTGTTGGCTTCTTTTTAAGGAGAAAGGCAGGATAAAAATATTTTAAATAAATAAATAAGAGTTCTGAGTTAACATATTCCAACTGTCTTGGGTAATTAGATTAAGGAATGATTGAAAAACAGCCCTCATAGCCCCTTCTAGTATGTGATGTGGCCAATTACAATCAATAAATCCATAATATGAAAACAGGAGATGAAGATTAATAGGCCAGAGCCATAAAAGGATTTCATTTGGAAACATTCTGAAACAGAGACCCGATTTGTTTAAAGGATGGCTACTTTCCCCAAAGGCTTTCCTACCACAGGAAGATTTTCCTGCTCCTTTCAGGGTATATTTTATTCAGGTATGGGATTTCCTTAGGCTAATAGCATTAAGTCAGTTTAGCAAATAGTTGAGTATTTCCTTGAAAAATGGGAAAAATGATATTGGTTTGTTTCCCCCCCCCCTATGATTCCAGTTTTTAAGCAACTAAAAATAACTTTTTATAGTAACTAACAATACTATTTAAAAATACTCCCTTTTAAAAAGGGAGGGTGGGTTTTCTTATGAGTTGTTGTTTTTTAGTCCTTAAGTCATGTCCAACTCTTTGTGACCCCATGGACCAAAGCACGCCAGGCCCTCTTGTCTTCCACTGCCTCACGGAGTTGGGTCAAAGTCATATTTCTCCCATACAACTAGACTGCTATACCATCAGTGGAAGAGAATACATTTCCAAAAAGAAAATGCTAACTGTATCAACTGTCCTTATCCTAAGTATCTGAATATTACTCCATTCCAAAAACATCCTTAAAATTAGCACATGGAAAAAGTATTTACACGTGTCACATCCTATTACTATGACCTGAGAAGGATATAGTGCATGGTAAGTTTTATCACTTTATTTTGCTGATAAGCTCTGCTCTGGATCTGTTCTCCAGATTTGTGTTCAATCAAAAACCAAAAAGGCTCCTATCTCATTGTCAGATGCCTACTATAAACAGGCAACTACCACTTCCACACACATATACACCACAGCAGAATGTTATATGAACATGGGAATGAAGCAAAATCTATCCTTCATTTATCATACAGATGATCCTTAACAACAGTTGCTAAGCAAAATGCTGAGATACATTTTGCAATTCTAAACTGGCACTGAGATCCAGCTGAAATTATTAAGTAACTTTAATGTATTCATGTTCAACCCTGCTCACGTTCCAGATCTCCTCCTCCACCATCAGCTCCGTATCAGTTAATCAATTGTCTATAGCAATTTTAAAACACAAACAAACAAATCATGTGGGCAGAAGTGTCGTTTAAAAAAGGAAGAAATCAGTAAGCTCAGCTAACCCACTAGAACTCACTCTGTCCAGAACTGTTGGAGTCCAACAACTTTAGAAGCTAGAATTTTTTTCACCTTATCTTACTCCCCGTCATAGTTTGTGTACAATGCTTCCTCTTCTAAATGTACACTAAATTCCTCATTAAAAAGCTGCTACCCCCATCTGTGCAATGTCTTCAAAGTCCTGTCTTTCTCTCTCTCTCCCTCCAATGCTGCTCTCAGGGCGTGGTTAAACTGCTGATTTGTATTGATTTCAGCTCCGATGTATTTTACATCAATTTTCAGCCACGTGGTTTTTGTATCCCTGTGCACGTTCACTTTGAAAATTATTACACTGATATAGAGACTTAAGACATGTGAAACTTTAAATCATTTCATCAACCATCTTTGCAGACCACATGGTTTCCATTGTAGCTGATCCCAGCGCATGGCCAATGTTTACAAGCTTCCTTTTCCTATTTGTTTTCCACTTTGTGCAGTATTTCTTCAGTTTTCAGGCATCCTTTGGAATGTGTGTATTTTTCTCCAATTTTTTAAGTGACAACTTTAAGTGACATAGCGGCATAGTGACATTATTTCCAAAACCCTGCCTGCTTGCCCAGAAAGGCAATTATCTACATTGCCTGAAGCAATTCATAAAGAATAGATTTCATAAGTGTGTTAAATTAAAAAGCCCCTGCCAGCTTCTTCTTCTGCTTATTTTTTAAATCACTCTGTGGACAGAAAAAAAGTGGGATTTTTCAAATTGATTCCAATTACGCAAAACCCAGTTCAAAAACAGTTCTTACTGTCAGTGCAACTGTGCCCCAACTCTCCTCTCTGGCCTTATTTCAGAGTGCTGACTCTTCCTACTCTGCAGCATCCCTGGTCCAGGAAGAAGATGAATTCAACAAGGATTCAGCTGCCTGAGTGTCAACCTTCAGATGGACTTCAGGCATCTTTGTGAATTAGGACTGTGCCCTAAGTGGCAGGATGAGAACAGTAAAGGCTAGAGTGATCACACTAGCATCAATATTCAGTCTGTCTTGTGCTGTGGAAAGCTTAGTATAGCTTTTTCCCACTAACAAAACGAGCAAGATATTGCAACGTTGGACCGTTTCCTGGTGTTCTGAATGATAGACATAGAAACAGCATTCCACATTCATGAATGAGAGGTTTTTTGAAGGACTGGATTTCTTGGATTTTGAAAACAGAAATATAAGAATATACAATTCAACAGAAGAAATCTGAATTTCTGAGCTGTAGTACCATATATATACAGTTCATAGAAGGATGCAGATTGTTAAAACTTCAAACCCATTAGACAAACCTATCTTGGAATACGTTCCAAGAACTCAGTAGGGCTTCCTGGTTTTTTATTTAAATCACGATTTAAGTAAAATCCTCTCTGATGCAAGTACCAATTGTTTTTGTTGTTGTCGTTTAGTCATTAAGTCATGTCCGAATCGTAGTGACCCCATGGACCAGAGCACACCAGGCCCTCCTGTCTTCTACTGCTTCCCGGAGTTGGGTCAAATTCATGTTCAAATTCAGCCTCAGCATCTGTCCTTCCAGTGAGCACTCAGGGTTGATTTCATTCAGAACGGATAGGATTGATCTCCTTGCAGTCCAGGGGATTCTCAAGAGCCTCCTCCAGCACCACAATTCAAAGGCATCAGTTCTTCGGCGGTCTGCTTTCTTTATGGTCCAGCTCTCACTTCTGTACATTGCTACTGGAAAAACCATAGCTTTGACTATTCAGACTTTTGTTAGCAAGGAAGTCTCTGCTTTTTAAGATATTGTCTAGGTTTGTCATCACTTTCCTTCCAACAAGCAGGCATCTTTTAATTTTGTGGCTGCTGTCACCATCTGCAGTAATCATGGAGCCCAGAAAAGTAAAATCTGTCGCTACCTCCATATCTTCCCTTTCTATTTGCCAGGAGGTGATGGGACCAGTAGCCATGATCTTAGTTTTTTTGACGTTGATCGACTGTTTTGACATTATATCAAATTCAGACAGAATCCAGGCTTTTGGCAATGGCTGTTTGCAAATTATTCCCCTACTCCCATGGATTTATTGCTCAGTTTTCCAAGCACACAGCCAACTAACTACTTATGAAAGTAGGCACCAGAACTTTTTTGCTTAGATAGTATTTGTACTGGTTAACAACACTTTAGCATCTAAAAAAGGAAAAGAAAAAACGGTCTAAATTTTTGTATTCCTTGAGGCAGAATTGTATTTTTGTTGCAGATGTACACATCTTCACAAGTAATTCAAACATTAACATCATAGTGACTTCTTATTCAGAAACTGTTGTATTCTGGTACCATGAGTTAACCAACTGGAGTAGTGAAAAAAGGAAAAAAATACCTTTGCTAACCTGACAATTAAGCATCTTTAAAATATGTGCTAGAAAACTTTTATTTTTGAAATCTACAATTTCTAATTATACATTTTTAAATGTATTTATCCATTGTCACCCGCTGTGTACACTGACACTGTCCAGAGCAAAGAAATATCAAAGGAATATTCTAAGTTAACAGTAGGAAACTCATGCCCTTCTGTGTTGGCTAGCCAAGAATGGATGGATGCAGGAAGCTAACAGTTCATTGCAAGGATTAAGAAGAACACTAACACGGAACTCACCCACTGTATCAGAGGCTTGAACTGATTTAAATACCAACCCAGATTAAAAAGAGATGCCTGCAGAAAGGCCCTTGTAATACTTCAGTTAACTCCTTTTATGCCAAAGAGGCACTCCTCGGTGACAGCAACGGAAGGAAGACCCCTGTGTAGGCTGGTGCATGTTGGCCAACTCTTGTTCATAGTGTTAACACTAAGGAAGGATGCATGTCTATGAGCAAGAAGTGCAATAAGCTTTACTGAAGAATTGGGGGGGCACGTGACCCTTGAACACAATGCAAAGACAAGTAGGATGACGACTAAAAATTCACAAACAAAAGCTAGCTTGTGATAATTTTTTAAAAAAAATCTTGATAAAGGTCTATATGGGCCAAACCACAGCATTTATTTGTGACTTTGTAGCACTCTAATAAAGATATCATCCTCACCCCCACATTTGGAGTGTGAACAAAGTGGGAATCATAGCACAACGAATATGCATATACACTGGTGCCCCGCTTGACGATTACCTCGTTATACAACAAAATCGCTTGACGATGTTTTTGCAATCGCTATTGCAATCACAAAACGATGATACTATGGGCGATTTTTGTTTTACGATGATCGGTTCCCTGCTTCGGGAACCAATTTTTCGCTTAACAATGATCAAAAACCGCTGATAGTTGGGTTTTCACAATGGCTCTCCACTGTTTTGCTGACTTCATTTCGCTTTACAGGCATTTTTTTCACTTGACGATGATTTCGCTGTGCAGTAGAGCCTCGCTTAACGGGCGCTCCGTTTGACAATGATGATTTCGCTGTGCAGTAGAGCCTCACTTAACGGGCGCTCCGTTTGACAACGAAATCGGTAGACGACAATGTTTTTGCGGTCGCAAAACAATGTTCCCTATTGGGGAATTTCACTTTGAGATGATCGATCATCACAAAGCGATGATTTTTGGCCATGATGATCGATCATCGCAAAGCGATGATTTTTGGCCAGCTGATCGGCAGTTTCAAAATGGCCACTGGGTAAACAAAATGGCCGCCCGCTCTTTGCTGGCACGGATTCCTCACTGCCCAGGCAGCGAAAATGGCTGCGCTATGGAGGACCTTCGCTGGACGGTGAGTTTCGAGCCCCTAGGAACGCATTAATTGGGTTTTAAAGCGTTTCTATGGGCGTTTGAAAATCGCATTACGACGTTTTCGTTTTACAGCGATTTCGCTGGAACGATTTACCGTCATAATGCAAGGCACCACTGTACAGCGATTTTGCTGGAATGCATTATCGTTGTCAAGCGGGGCACCACTGTAATCCAAACCATAGACAAAGCTATGTTTTCAGCCTGTGTGTATAGTACTTGGAGCACTACCATGGAGACCTGTGATATTTTTCATAAGAGGTTGTTCTTGAATGCTTTTTAAAGCTCAAGTTTGAAGCATTGAATTGTACTGTATGTGAAAGGAAAAGAACAAGTGTCATGGATGGCAAATACTAGTCAGCAACAAAGGAGGGGGAGGGTTCCCCCTCAAGCACTGGACAATTAGGACACCATTCAAAAAGGAGGAACTAGAGATAATAGCCAATCCTTCATCAACACTGCCATTGTTTCCCAGCACTTCCTTTCCATGGCTTTATCCATTCATCAAAACACAGGAGTACAGCTTGAAATGAAAATGGGAAAAAAAACCCTCCCCAAAGCATGGGAAAAATCGCAGCACACTGAACAACAGCAGTTCCTCGCAATAATACTCATACCAGTTTCTCTTTCTTTCTTTCTTTCTTTCTTTCTTTCTTTCTTTCTTTCTTTCTTTCTTTCTTTCTTTCTTTCTTTCTTTCTTTCTTTCTTTCTTTCTTTCTTTCTTTCTTTCTTTTACCCCATTCTTTCTTTCAATATTTTACCCCACCTTTCTCCTTGAAAAGGACCCAAAGCAGCTTACAGCTAAGAACAATGAATAAAGAGGCACCTTACATCATTAAAAGACAATATTAAAGCCAAGTACAATAAGTATACAATTAAGAAAAGAACCAATGTCACTCTGAGAAATGGAAAACACAAGTAGTACTAAAAATCCAGTCAGAGCAGTAATACATAACAACCCATCTAAAAAATCACACACGAGTCGCTGGTTACTGAGGGAAGGCTGGCCTGAAGGGAAAGGTCTCTGCCTCCTTTTGGAAGGACAGCAAACATGCGGCTGGTCTGGCCTCCTGTGGAAGGCAGTTCTAAAGTCTGGGAGCAAAAGCAGAGGAGGTCTTCTCCTCTGTCCCCATCAGATGCACTTGCGAAGGTGGTGGGACTGAGAGAAAGGCCTCTCCTGATGATCTTAACACCGGAACTGACTCATAATGGGAGACACTGTCTTTCATATAGTTTGGACCCAGGCTGTTTAGGGCTTTATAGATTAAAACCAGCACTTTGAATTGTGCCCAGAAACTGATTGGCAGCCAGTGAACCTGCTGTAGCAGGGGAGTTATTTGATGAATCCAGGAGCCCCCCCCCCAAAAAACTGTGCACCTGTTTTTTCAATGGGAGTGTAATCCCGTCCAGTATAGTACTGCACTGCATAACATCACAGCAAGTTATATATAGAAGATTGAACAAGTCAAATGAACAATTGCATCTATGTATACCTACTCCGAAGTAATGTCATTGCTTTCAATCATCTGGCATTTTAAAAATCATCTTAATAAAACCACTGCATTTTGCTACTGGGATATATCATATTCTTTTCCTCCACTTTCCCCTAGTCAATATAATGTATTGGGATAAAAAAAATATTCAATGCCGTTTTTCAGTAAACCATGATGCCAGGAACCAGAAGTGACATACCGTACTTTGGTTGTCAGAAGTTTTCCCCCTTTCACCCTGAAATCCTGGAAGGCGCATGAAATGCACAAGCACCTATAACTCAAAACCACCTATAAATCACTCTACAGTACTGCTGACCCACTGTGTGTAGACAGTAACCTGGAATTCACTCAATGGAAGTGTTTTTATCCATGTGATGAGGTACTTGTATTTCAGTGTGATTGTACTGTGTGTGATAGGTTTTGGCACTGGGGTAATTTTGGAAGAAAATTCTCAACAAACCACTTTAGTTGCTCCTTTACATTTTATTTCATCTGTACTCCCTGGATTTCATATCACTGAGCAACAGAAAAGCAAAAGTAATGTTGGCATAATCATTGCGAAGTACCAGAATCACCAACAAGATGGTCTTACAAATTCTCTAAGATAACCACAGCACAAAAGTTGCTGAGGTTGAGGGTTCAAAAGAAGAGAAACCTGGGATTTTTTCCATCAAGGTTTATAAAATTACAGCAAATACATGTGATAAAGCAGCTGACTAAAGTCTGTAAACCCAGTGTCAACATTCCCTACATTAACACATATGGTTCCTCTATTATCTTCTTTTACTTTTCTATACCCTTCACCGACCTCTTGAGTTTTTAACAGTCTTCAACCCCCCCACCTCTCCTCCTCCCCCTTTTGCTTATGCTTGTGGACTTGTCCACGAAAGCTCGCATTAAAATATAATAGTCTTTAAGGTGCCACATGACTTTTTTCCCATTTTGTTTTGTTTCTTTGGATTTTGCCTGATATGCTTGCACAGACTAATAACATGCCTACCTCTTCTAAAACAGTGAATTAAGTACAGATTAATAAGTATGTCTTGTTCAGAAATTAATTTCTAGAACAAGGCTGGAATTTCTCTTCATAGTGTTTATTTAAAAAGTGTTTATTTAAAAGAATAGGGCTGATCCCGGGTGGCC